CAGTATGAGCAGGATCAGAGGAAGGTGGAGGAGTGGAAAGGAGGGGGCAACAACGATGAGCAAGGATTCGGATCCAGAAAAGTGGCCCACGCTGGGCGCGAGAGCGCCATTCTGAACAACGAGAGCAAATCGCTGCTCCGAAAAAGAGGCCCATGCTGCAGCAGAAACACCAGCTTCAAACACAGAAAACTTGATTTATTGATTGATCTGCGTTCAATGGAACACCCCCCAAATAATCGGGTTGTAAAAGAAACGAAAACACCACCTTGATCCGATTATGTGTAAAAACAATCCGTGGAGAGGGCCCGGCGATCTTCCGGACGGAATCTGGGGAGAAAGGAGAGTAGTATTCATAATGTCGGTGTAGAGAAGATTAAATAGGAGAGAGGATGAGAGAGGATGAGGAGGAGGATGAGGAGAAGGAGGAGGAAGAGGGGGAAGAGGAAAGAGGAGAAAAAAGGAGAAAGGAGAGAGGAGAAAGGAGAGGTGGTGGAGAAGGAAGAGGCGGACGAGGAGGAGGAGGCGGAGGAGAGGGAGAGGCGGAGCAGATAGGACGAGGCGGAGAGTACGAGGCAGGAGGAGGAGCAGGTCGGGACGTGCGCAGAGGACAGTGACGAGGACGGGTGGGAAAGAGGATGACGAGGCGCAAGAGGGAGGGATGAGGATTAGCACGAGGCGGAGTGAGGACGGGGAGGAAGTGGGGGGGGAAATGGGAAGGGAGACGATGGATGGAGGAGGACGAGGACCAAGGAGTTGGACTGCGGATGGGGAGTGGAAGCAGCAGAACAAGGATGAGAAGGATTGTAGCATACACCGAAAGATGATGACAAGAAAATAGGACTAGAAGGACCGATGGACCTTCAATATCGATCTCGAACTCGTGGGCAGCTGTTGAACACGCACAGTGTGTGTGTGTGTGTGTGCTGAGGGGTCCGTGACACTTGGACTCCAGAGAACTGGTCCCAAGAGAGCCCCATAAGGGCCTCCAACTGCGGCGCTGGTAAATCCGAAGGGCAAGCGAACGTGAGGCCCCCTTCGCTAAGAGCCAACAAAAAAATTGTAAGCCCATTCTGGCGTTTCAAAGATGAGAGCCGAAGTCGACCTCCAAGATGGTTCGAGAGATGGCTCAAGATGGCCACCACTATACCTCGCAGAGGCCCCGACATGCCTCCAAGGCGGGTGCGAGTGGCCATGGAGCTTCCCAAGGAGGCCACAAAGAGACACAACTCAACACCTGAGGAAATGCTGCCTTCTCGCCGTTTCGCTTCCGATGGGCTGTTGAGGCCCAGGGATGCCCACAAGAGGGCCCAAGTGAGCCCCAGAAGGGTCCCGACAGCGCCCAGGAGTGCCCCAGTGGGGTCCCAAGGCGTGACTATACAGGCTCCAGAGGGGCAGCCATACGAAGGACCCCCGCTTTGTTGGCCCCCTGGCCCCGAAGAAGAGGGCACCACGAGAGCCCCAAGGAGGCCCAAGCACGGCCCCAAAGGCATCCAACATGGCCCCAACGGGGCCCCAGGATGACCCCTGGACCGAAAGACCCGCGAGGACAAGTATGGTTGACTCCTGGTCCTGCTCAGGCAGATCCCGATCTTCGGCTCGACGCTGCCATCCCTCATTGTTCTACTACGTGCTCCAGAACTTCCCTGAACCATGCAAGTCGCCTTGACATCGTTACTGGATGGGCGAGTGGGGATACACGACGGGTCAATAAGAATAATGATGGTGATACGAATGAGAATGCGAATACTAAAAATAGCAGCAAAACTAATAGTCTAAGAAAACGAATATCATAGTAATGATAGCAATGGTAACAATCTTATTATAACAACTACATATATATATAGAGAGAGAAATATGAAAACAAATGGTATATGTATATATGAAACAAAAACTTCGGACCACGCGCCCCCCCCCCCCCCCGCCTGGCGCGAACCATGTCGAGAGTCGTACACCACCAATGATTGCCGTAGCAATTACATCTAGATATTGCCAAAGCACACATGAGAGTCAAATTGATCTCAATAGAGACATCTGTCTACATGCAGGCGAACACGTGCAAGCATCTTAAGAATCCAGAGGTTTCCTGTCGCCCGTGTCTACAAGACCATGCGGACCAGACGCGCGCGAGCGCTCCCGCGCGCGCATGTCCGAATCGTTACACCGCTCACTTGCTAAAGTCATCGGTTAGACATGTATCGAGGCCAACCTGACAAAACACTCCTTGCAAGCCACACGCGCGCACCCGCGCATGTGTGAAAACCACTCAAAACCAGTGGCTGTTTGAAAAATGTCGACACAGCTATCTTCAACCTATATACACACAACGGCTCGTCTGTACAAATCACCACATTTTCCCTCCGATGTCATCATGACTTGTCGCCCGAGTCATGGATTGGCATGAGGAGGGTCCACGCGTCATTTACTGGGATATGCGAATGAATCCCTATAGCCCATTGCACTCACGGCCTCGAGTGTTGCCAACAACATGCGGATGGGTGGGTATGACCTTTACTCAAGCAGCTGGAGTTGACGACTTCAAGCTCGTCACATTCATTACATTTCATAATGTTGCACAGGGGGTCAAGGCGGTATTGGCATCGAAAGGAGATTTGTCAACCTCTAGAAAGGGACGCTCAAGTCATAAATTATTGATGACTGGGAGGGCCAATCGACACTATGTCGATTCTAAATCGGCGCTATCTCATCGATGGCCAGACGCTAATCGACGGTGATCAACGCTAAATCGACGCTAACCGACACCAATCGACGCCAAATCGGCGCTATCCCATCGGCTACCAAACGCCACTCGACGCTAGTCGACGCTACATGCTGAATTGCGAAGGTATGCGAGGCTCTCACCATTTGCAACCGAACCAACGGTGCGGTGAACACACCGTCTGGTGAGTCCAGCGTGACTCGGGGTCAGCGGACCGTCTGGAGACTTTGTGGGCCGAGGACGTCTCGAGCGCCCGGGGCCGGCCAGAAAGTCCGAAGAGACAGTCCAGCGGCGGGCCGTGCGTTGTGAGGTCCACGGGGCGTTCGAGGTCACCGCACGGCCCGTCGCTGGACGCTTGTGGGACCCCTAAACTTAGCAAGTCCAGGGTTCGCTGGGGATTGGCTTCCCCGAAACCTTCCCGAAACCCCGCGAAAACCCTCCCGGAAGGGTTCTGGGAGGCTTCTAGGGGAGGGTTCCGGAAGAGCTTCGGAAGGGTTTGGGTCGTCTTGGGGGGAAGCCAGCTCCCAGCGACCCCTGGATCTGCTGACCCTGGGCCCCTGCCCGTGCGAGCCAGGAAGTACTGCGCCCAAACAGTGGCACCTTGGTCCGGAAGCGAGTAAATTGCAAACTGCAGTGGGCTCAGTGTGTGCATTCGTCGGCATCCATCGGCCACTCTCGGCAGCATCCCACGTGTTCCGCCAGCGCCAGGCGGTTCCACTGCGCGCCTGCGCTACCCCCCCTCCATGCCCGCCGCCTACGGCTGGCCTGCTTGCCACAGTTCAATTCACCAGTTCGATGCCTCCCCTTCTGCTGCCCGGTCTGGGCGCACCCCCCACGGCGTTGCCCTGTCGACGCTACAGCCTCACGACGTCCCCGAGATGCGCGCTCCACGCCTCTGGCCTACCCCTGGCCTTGTCTGCCCCCTGGTGGGCTGGTATAGGGCCGCTGGACTACCGCCCTGCACACTTGCAACCACATATCGCAGCCGCCTGCTTCTCCGTCGGTGCCTCATCTCCTGAGCACCCCTGAGTCCTTGCTGGAATTGCGTGTTCCTCTTTTTGGGGCGGCCGGCCCCTCCAGCCGTCCAGGGCCTGGCACTGGCTGGTCTTGCCGCCTTGCCCCGCCCTGTTCCCCGCGGGGGCGTCCGCCCCGTACCTCTCGCCCCTCCGCCTGGGCGGAGGCGCCTGCCTTCGCCGCCGCCGGGCGCCTCGCAGGCCACCGATGATTTCGGCTAAGCTCGTGCGTGGCCTGTTGCGGGTCTTGCCGCCGGGCGCACGCCCGCTGCCTCCGCCCACTGCCCCCCGCCTCGGGCGCTCTCGGCCCGCCGGCCCGCGCCCCCTCCCCGTGCTTGCCGGGTGCTTCTGCTCCCTGGCGTAGTTACCTCTCGGTTCCTCGGTGACCGCCCGCTTTCCGCCGGACTGCGGGCCTCTCGCCTGCCCGCCCGGCTCTTGCCCAGCCGGCCCCGTCGCGGTCTCTTCGCCTGCGCCCGTCTCAGCTTGCCCGGTTTTCAGGCCGGCCCCTCCTCCCTCGTGGTGGTCCCGCTCTGCCTCCTGCTGGGCTGCCTCGCTGGTCCCCCGTGACCTCGGCGCCCCCCGCCCCTTCCTTGCGTGCACCGTCTCCTCCAGCTTGCGCTGGGCTCCGCTCCACCCTCGGGCACTGCCTCGTGCCCCGCCCCCCCCCTGACCCCTCACCTTGAGGTGGTCCTGCACTCGCCGTTGCCGGGTTGCCTCGTAGGCCACTCGTGACCTCGGCATCCGCGGCCTGCATTTTCGCTCTCTGCTTCGCCACCAGCCCACTCTGGGCGCTGCTCCCCCCAGGCACCTGCCTGCCCCCCACAGGAGGAGGAGGAGGAGGAGGAGGAGGAGGAGGAGGAGGAGGAGGAGGAGGAGGAGGAGAGGAGGAGGAGGAGGAGGAGGAGGAGGAGGAGGAGGAGGGAGGAGGAGGAGGAGGAGGAGGAGGAGGAGGAGGAGGAGGAGGAGGGAGGAGGAGGAGGAGGAGGCACCCTCCTCGGCCGCCTCCCGGCGCCGCCCCCTGCCGCCGCCCGGCCCCGCCGTGAGCGGGCCCGGTTTCCGCCTCCTCCCCGCCGTCGCGGGGCGCATCCTCTCGAAGAAGAAGAAGAAGAAGAAGAGGAAGAAGAAGAAGAAGAGGAAGAAGAAGAAGAAGAAGAGGAGCCTGATTCGCAACTGTTCGTCCAGCATTTTCCCCTCCGCCAGCGCAGTCACTCTGCCCAGCCGCCGGCGCAAAAGAGTTGGTTTTGGCGGCGAGCGAGGGGGGAAGTACGAAGGAGAAGGTCTTCTTAGAAGGCGGCGGGACTTCTCAGAAGCCCTCGCGCCTTCTAAGGAGTTGTTTTGTCTTCGGGGAAGGCTTAAAAAGCTTCTCAGAAGGCCGGGGGACTTCCGAACCTTCTGAGAAGGCCTTCTCCTCCTCACCTCCCCCCCACGCTCGCCGCCGATGTATGTGTGTACAAGGTGGCGCATCAATTCGTCTTCGCACTGGCGTACCCGAGGCCCGCTGAAGCGCAGGGCGAGTGCAGCTCTCAAGTTGTGTATACGTTTCTGCCCAAGCGCCGTGCCACAGGCTGGCGCACGGCCTCTGCCTGTCTGTCTGTCTGTCTGTCTGTCTGTCTGTCTGTCTCTGTCTCTGTCTGTCTGTCTGTCTGTCTGTCTGTCTGTCTGTCTGTCTGTCTGTCTGTCTGTCTGTCTGTCTGTCTGTCTGTCTGTCTGTCTGTCTGTCTGTCTGTCTGTCTGTCTGTCTGTCTGTCTGTCTGTCTGTCTGCGCCCCTGCCCGCACTTTCTCGTTCCGGGGCCTCGGCGGGCGGTGCAGGCGGGGGGGGGGGGATCTGAGCACGCCACGGCGCAGAGGAGCGGGCGGCGGCGGAAGGCGGCGCGGGGGGCGCAGGAGCAGCAGGAGCGGCAGCAGCGGCGGCATCACAGGGAGCAGGGGCACGGGCAGGCGGAGGAGGAGCGGAAGCAGGAGGGCGCAGGATCGGCCGCTGGGAGGAGCGGGAGCAGGAGGAGCAGCATGTGGGCGGGAGCGTGGAGGAGGGAAGACCGGGGGGAAGAGGCGAGAGAGCTGGCCGGGGCACGAGGGGGCCAGTCCCACACAGCCTGCGACGGCGGAGGCGCTTCAGCTCCCCGCCCGTTCTCGCAGCCGCACGGCCAGCTCGACCTCCCAGGGGGCGCCGCGGGTGGCCCACGGCCACGTCCAGGCGCGAGGGGGGGAGGAGTCGGAGGAGCAGTGGCTGGCAGCGGGCAGAGAAGGCCTGGGAGGACGAGGGCGAGCCCCGCCACAAGAGAGGGGGGCGAGGAGGAAGCAGCAGGAGAGAAGTACGAAGAGGGCGAGGGCAACGGTGCTGGTGGATGAAACGTGAAGGTATGGCGGGCGACGAGGAAAACGATGAGAGGAGACACATGCACAACTGGAGGAGGCTGGTGAGGAGAGGAGCGGGACATGACGACGAGGCGGGGACGATGAAGAACGGAAAGAATAAGAAAACGATGGAAATTACATGGCAGGTGGTCGGAGGAGCCGGAAGAACATAATGAGAGGGGACAAAAGGACACGGAGTACGATGAGGACAACGAGAGAACAGACCAGAGAGAGAGAGAGAATGAGAGAGAGAGAGAGTTCGACAGAGAGAGAGAGAGAGAGAGAGCGAATGGTGCACGGGAGGAGGATGCAGGAGGATGGAGGAGGACGGAGGAGGCAGGGTTAGGCGCCTAAGAGAAGGCACAGATGATGCCCAGGCGGAGGTGCAGGCAACGCGAGCGCGCTTCGCAGCCCAGAGCGCGCCGCCCAGGAGAGGCGAACGGAGACGGCGGGCGGAACGAACGAACGACCGACCAGGCGCGTCGAGCACGGATTCGCGCACCCAGCGGGCCACGGGCCAAGCACGGCAACGGAGGGTGCGATGCAGGGACCTTCTGGAGAGATTGCCGTGGTGCTGGGAATCCTTGGGAGCCCTTGCGTGAAGAACATGCTCAGCAATCGGTAGTACTGGGAGCCTTGGCGTGCAAAACTTGTCACGTCACCGCTTGCTGCTGCGAGCCCTGGCGTAACTTCGCCCCTCCCCTGGAGCCTCGGCCTCTCTTGGGCCGACTTCTGAGTATGCGAAGCCAGATTCGGGTTTTTTCGTTGTCTGTTTGTTCCTGCTCCTGTGGCGCGGGAGCTTCAGAGGCAGCGTGAGACCCTGAGATCCGCGCGTTGCAATGTTGGCCTCCCTGAGCGCGTTCGCCCGGTCTCGGGCCCCGTGGCCATCACAGATCGCTGCAGCCCGAAGAACGCCGCGGCAAGATGTGCACGGGGTTCTGGTCTTGACTTCTCGCGAAAGCCATCTCTGGACCCCTTGGCCCGTCTGCGGACGCGCGCGCGCTACGCCCAGTCACTCACCCCTCGCCCATCTCCTGCAACAGGGCGACGGGGTCTGCACGTGTGCACTGCTCCAGGACTGGCCCATCCTGGGCGCAGGAGCGGTGTACACTCCCTCCTGGCTTGGCCAGGGATGCATATGCACCGCTTCTGGGCCGAGGATGGGCAAGGCCTGGGGCAATCGATATGTACAGATCTCGTTACACTCCTGAACCCATCCCAAGACGGCCAATCGCCCCACCCAGAACGGAGCCCGACTGAATTCCTGTCCACCGCCAGCCCAGGCCCCGCAAGATCGCTCCCCCAGACCGTGGTTATGGACGAATCCCCGCCTCCGAACTGACACCTCGCCACTCCCCGGGAACCCCTCCCTGGGCGGCTGGTCGCCCCATCCAAGGCGTCCTCGCCCGTACACTTCGCTCGCACCGCCGCCGGGGCCCCGAGCGCGAGCGACGCGGCGACAGCACCGACTCTCTTGTGCGAGCCATTGCGTCAGAATGCTTCGCGTCGCCATTTGCTCTTCGGAGCGTTAACGTTAACAGCTCTTTGCGTCTATGGCTCGTCTTCGAATGGGTTTCCGTCACCTGGAGCTGTTGGACGCCTTGACGTCAACGCTGTGTGCGTCACTGGGCCTTCTGGGCGTGGAAGTCTTGGCGTCAAAGCTGTGCGCGTCACTGGGCGGTCGGGGGGAGGGAGCCTTGGCGTCAAAGCTGTGTCCGTCACTGGGCAATCTGGGGGCCCTGTTGGGGCTCCCTTGAGGCCCTCCAAGGGCTCTCATTGGAGCCTCGTAGGGCCCAACTGTGGCCCTCTTGAGCCGTGTTGGGGGCATCTCGGGCCGTCGCTAGGCCCTCTTGGACGCTCCAAGGGTCCGTGGGGGCCCTCTTAGATGCCCTCGTCAGGCTTTCTTGGGCCGTGTGCAAAGCGTCTTGGCCGTACCGAGCCATCTACAAAGCCTCTCGGGCCGACTTGGAGCGATCTAGCAAGCCCCCGTGGCCGTCTTGGGCCGTGCTTGGCCCGAAAAGGCGCGAAACTTAAAAATCTGCCGAAAACCAATGTGAAACATCTGACTTGGCCTCCTCGGGTCGTGCTTGGGGCCTCCTGGGCCGTCTTGGGGCCTCCGTCTTTGGCCTCTCTTCGGGTCCTCTTGGGCCGTCATGGGGCCCTCATGCGCGTCTTCGCGCGTCTTGGGGCCGTCTTGGGCCCTCTCTCGGGCCGTCTTGAGGCTATCTTGGCTCGTCTTGGAGGCCCTTGGCGCACTCGTGGTCGCTTCGCGAGTTACGCGGTGCGTCCGCCACCCACCCACCCATGGACCAACCCATTGCGGGCTGTTTGCCCCACCCAGAGCAGCATCACTCGCACCTCCCTCTGTCCGTCATCCTCAAAGCAGCTAGCTGAGATAATGTGGACGAGAGTTCTTCTTATGTATCTGGTCAGCGCGCGCGAGGGCGCCCCTGGGGAGTCGGTGGACCTAACCAGGGCCGAAAGCGCCCCAAACGCTGGCGAAAGATCGCCGAGAGAACCCCAAGAACGCGGGTCAGTGGGTAGACAATCAAAAACGCACCTCGGAGGCTCCCGGAGAGGCCCATGGAACAGCTCTGTGGTGTGTTGCTGTGGTTGGCCTTCTGGCCTCTGCGGGCTCCAACAGGCTTCTAGAGCTCCGAAAGGACGCCAAGAGGGCCCCGATGTTTCGCAAGCGGACCCCAGTAGGCCCACAAAGAAGCCGAATAGCATGGATAAGTGGGCCCCAAATCATGTGTTGATCCCGAGGGGGGCCCCCAAAAGCCCCGATATATAGAACCAGGATTGTCCCAGCTAGCCAACGACAGCAAAATCGACTGCAAGCATACTGCAAGATGACAGAGACGTGACCTTTGAAGAACAAACCTTGAGTCTTTGATGGTCATGGAGTTCTCGCCCTTGCTGCCTCTAGTGGGCGCTTCAAGCCCCGAAGTGGCCCCAAGAAAGCTCCCTGAAGGCCCACAAGAGCCACAAGAGGAACTCAAGATCACAAGAGGACCCAGAGAGGGCTCCACGAGCAGCCCAAGAGAACCCAAAAGCAGCCTAGGATCCCATTGGTCCAAGACAGCCCCCAACAGGCCCCAAGAAGTCTCTCGGATGCCTCCACGGTCACCTTTCAAGCCTCCCAGAAACCAACTCCCCCGAGATGTTCCGACAACCCATGACGATGTCAACCAAACATGGCTTGCTCGCCTTTGCGGGCTTCGATGGCAAAACTTGCGCGGGAACATGTTATGTTGATTGTTTCCGATGTCGGGCGGCTCTTTCTCCCGCACGGGAGCTTCACACGATCGCTTGGGAAAAACTACGACCACAAAAACACCTTCCCAATGCCCACGAGCACGCCAGCAAATGGCAAAGATGATACAACATCGACCAGCGGAATATGCCGAAAGGTTAAGTCAGTCGGGCCCCGAGAATCGGGCGGTCTGAGCCGTGTTTCAATGCACATGCCAGATTTGGAGAATGATAGAGACCACATGCAGACTGCATCCTGGAAGCTATTCCACGCGAACGCTTGAGAATTCTCGTGGGACACGTATCAACACAAACGAACTACCATATATGGCCCCTGTGGATCGTTATATATATATATATGTATACCTATATATATATATATATATATATATATATATATATATATATATGTACATGTCGCCGCTACGACGAAAATTCGGCCATCATGTCACTCGTCCCGTTCGACTCGCATGGTCTCAGCGGTCCCTACTGTCAGCCGCCGAGCGCGATTATCAAGTGGGCGGCACTGTTTGCAACGCGACCACAACTCGCCTGGAATCCCAGACCCCGCTTGGTTGACATGAACGTTTGCATTGGTCTCAGCGGTCCCTACTGTCAACCGCTGGGCACGGAAATCAAGTGCGCCGCGATCCTTACAACGCGGCCACTACTCGCCTGAGATCCCACTAGGCCTGCATGTTAACATGAACGTTTGCTTTGGTCTCAGCGGCCCCCACTGTCAGTCGCCGAGCGCGGATGTGAAGTCTTTGCATCGCGACCAGAACTCCCCTTAGATCCCACTCAACCATACGTACATATACGTGGATGTGTACACAGATATATATATATATATATATATATATATGAATGGGTGAGTGTGCGTATATGTATGCGTGAATGTATAGTTCCCATCCTTCTTGCACGGGCGAAGATACAATCGATTGGCGCCCCCATTTTGGTGAGAGCCTCAATTCGGCATACCCCATCACGCACTTCGAGCCCCATGCGACCCGAGGACCCTCAGCTGGCCCTCGAAATGGCGGGAAAGGGCCCCCAATGCGGCACCTTCCTTCACGGATCTCGCGCCCCACCCCTTTACGCACTGGCCGTGCCCCATGGCCTCCTGATGCCCTCTGGAGGCATCCAAAACCGCCCCCAAAAGAACACTTCGACGATCGGTACCTGACTACCTACCAGACCACCCCAACCCAACCCGAAGACCCGAATTTCGGGTTGGGGGGGGTACGGGTTCCGTATGTGCTTTCTCGATGTTCCCCGACCCCCCCCAACTGGAAATGGAGGGCAAATCGAGACCTTCGGGTTGGGTTGGGGTGGTTTGGTGGGTGGTGAGTACCGACCCTCGTCGAAGCAGTACCCCTGGAGAACCTCTGACTGCAGGACTTGCGGCACCGTCGCCGTCTTGGCCCCAGCCGGGTGCCAGGCCCACGCGGGCGACCCTGGCCGCCCACCCCCGCCGGCGCACGGGCGCTCGGCGGCGCGAGCAGGGCGCTCGGCCGCCCTCGTGACCTCGCGGGGGGGGGCCGCCGCGACCCCCACCCTGCGGGCACGGCAACTCCCGCCGCGGCCCACGCGAGCAGATGGAGACGCAGGCGAAGGCGGGGCACGAGGTCGACTCTGCAGCCTCCGCGACAGGGGGCTCGGGGTGGGGTCTTCGGCACTACGGCACCTCTGTGCCCACTCGTTGGGCCTCAGCCCCCTGGACAACTTGTCGAGGATCTCACTTCGCTCCCTGGTGAGCGGCTCGTCCTTACCACTAGGACTAGCCAAATCTCAGATCTGCTCAGACCCATACCCAGCCCGCCACCACTTGCAGTGGCTAAGGCGGCAGGGACGGGAAGGATTTCTTCCCCTCCCTACCAGTGGGGTACAGTGGGCCCTGATGGGGCACGCTAGTCCCCGGTGGTGCCAGGTGGGACCCAGTTGGATGCGGCGGGCTGAGGGCCCCGAAGGGCCCGGTGTGGCCCAGTGAGGTCCAGTGAAATCTGCTGGGGCCGAAGTGGGCCCGGTAGGGTCAGGTGGGGCCTGATGGAGCCTGGAGGGGCCCGAGCAGAACTGGCCGAACTGTCCCGAACGACAAAAACGAAACCTTTACAACTGGCCCGCCGCCGAAACCGAACTGGCGCAACCGAACCCACCTGCCGCCGAACCGGCCCGAACCGACCCAAACTGGACCATTCCCGAATAAGGAGTGCATGTGGGTGGGCAAGACAGGGGAGCAAAGGGAAACGCTGCGACGGAGCCGACGCCCCATCCGCGGGCAAGCCTCTCCCGCGCCAGCGCCGTAACGAGCCGCCTGCTCCTCCTTCTCCTCGCGCGCACGGGGGGCGGGCCGCGCCGCGGGGTCAAAAAAGGACCTGTTCCCTATCATCCCTTTCCGCTTTCCTCCTCCTCCTCCTCCTCCCTCCTCCTCCTCCCTCCTTCCCTTTCTCCCTTTGCTCCTCCTCCTCCTCCTCCTCTTCCTCCTTCTCCTCCTCCTCCCTCCTCCTCCTCCTCCTCCTCCTTCTCCTCCTCCTCTTTGGCAACGCTTGGGGCACGATTCGCTCTTCAATCGAGGGCTCTGATGCACAGATCCTGCTCTGCCAAGAGCATAGTCTCAGAGACCAAGAGTCTATTTCACAGGCCAACGCCTGGTGTCTTCGTCATGGCTGGAAGTCGGTCTAGTCGAGAGCGGAAGCCGCGGAATCAGGCGACACGTCGGGGGGGCATTTTCGTGCGCTCCTGGAAGGGGTGCCTCTCCTTGGATCGTGGCGAAGTGTCTAAGGGGCGTGTTCTGGCATGTTCTGTCCAGCTCCCTGGCACCCCTCACATGATTGTTGCTTCTGCTTATCTCTATCACTCGGAGACCCTGTCGAACAGGAATCTGCAGCTGCTTGCGGATCTCGGCCTTCTCTTGTCTCAGCAAGCTCGGCCGTGGTTGCTTAGAGCTGATTTCAACTTTGAACCTCAGGAGCTTGAGGGCTTCAAGTTTGTCTCCGAGCTGTGCGTGTCCTTGGTGGCTCCCAGGGTCTGCACCCATTACCCAGCGGGAGCCCCAACGACGTTTGATTATTTTGTTGTTTCTTCGGGCCTTTCCAAGGGCATCGAGCGGATCGATACGTATCTCGACACAGAGCTCTCACCACATCGTCCTGTTCAGCTCACCTTCTTCCCGAAGCTTGGAGTGCTGAAGGCGTTGTCGTTCCGTCGTCGTCCTCCTCCTCTCCCATGTCGTGGCGTGTTTGGGCCGTCCCCGCGCTTCGTCCAATAGGAAGGGGTCCAGTCGATGGGTGACCACACCCTCGGCCTGCTGGAAGAAGGCGATTCCTCGACCGCTTGCGATATGCTTGGCACTCTGTATCAGGCGCGGGCTGACCGCGCAGAGTGCGAGCTGGTCCCTCGGGTCGGGCAGGAGCCTCTGAAGCTCGGGGCTCGCGGGCTCGGACCTCAATTGATTTGGCGTTCGATTCTGGCTCGCGATTCCCAGGTTCGGCATCCTGGGCACAGGGGCATTATATAAATGGCTTGGACAATAACTTCGGGCCTTTATAAATTCGTCTCGAGATAACTCCTTGTCGCCGACGTCGACTAGAATAAAGTCTGAGCTCTCGCAACCGCCGCCGGCCATTATTCAAGCTCGCGAAGATTATTCCGTCTTGCTCGAGACCACTGCATCTGCTGTAGCCGCCTCAATTGATCCTAATTGTTTAGCGGACCTGTACGCTCAGGTTCTGAAGGCCGTCAAGGCCGCCGATTCGAAGTATGCCGCTCACGGTTGTAGAGATTGGGCTGTTTGGCTTAACTGCGGGATGGACTCGGATGCTCGTCGGGTGCACATGCTTCTGAGGGACCCCACCCCCTGGGCCCCTAGTAGCACTCTCTCGGCGGAAGGCTGCATCGTCTCGGACCCCCTTTCTTTGCTCAAGGCCAAGGGCTCGAAGTTTGCCTCGATTTGAGGTCCTGGTCCTGAGGTTTCTTTTTCGGAAAAAAATGGATCCTCTTCCTCGCCTGCAAGCTCAGGAGATCAAGGATATGTCTCGCTCGTACAAGGAGTCCTCTGCGGTGTCTGTGGACGGCTTCCACTGTCGTCACGTCTCTTTGCTCACCGACGATTGTCTCTCTTGTCTTGCTGGGATTTTCCAAGCGATCGAACCTCTCGGAGTTCTTCCTCCCTAAATATCCGTGGTCCTTCCCGCCCTGCTCCCGAAACCGACTGGTGGCTACAGGCCGATCGGGGTACTCTGCTCATGGTTCACACTATGGGGCCGCCTTCGGCGCCCCATGGCTTTGAGCTGGGAGGTGGAACATCCCCGACGGTACTGGGCTGCTGGTCCGTTTCGTGGAGCAGCGGACATAGTGTGGAGGCAAGCTGGTAAGGCTGAGAGCGAAGTCGCTCGTGGTCAGACCAGCTGCAACAGTTTCTTTGATCTTGAAAAGTTTACGAGCATATCTCATTAGCTCAATTTGAGTTCAGGTGTCACAGGCATAACTTCCCTCGGATAATCGTCAGTGTGTGTTTGCGTATAGTGAGTGTGGCCGTTTCTTGAGCCTCGGAGGCTGGCTAGAAGGTCCCCGCTAGCTGCTCGATGGCCACCACGCTGATTAGGGCGTTCTGTTTAGATGGATGCGACACCTTGTGTGTGACGCTCTCCCCGCGCATGGACCTCGACGTGTACATCGACGACAAAGGGTTGTCGTCGGCTGGGCCTGCCGCGAAAGTGATCAGTGACGTCGTTGAAGGAGTTAAAGGTTTGAGAGAGCGTGATCCTCCGCCGCTTTACTGTGAAAAATTCCCCCCCTCTTCCTCTGAAACCCGGGGGTCACCCCCCCTTAGAAAATCCCCCCCCTGCCGGAACCCACCCCCTCCCCCCAGCAAACCCTCCCCCAGGAAAACCGGGGGGGGGTCACTACTGGTTCGAACCCGCCCCCCCCCTTCCAGAAAACCGAGGGGGGTCACTACCGGTTCGAACCCCTCCCCACCCCCCCTCCAGAAAACCGGGGGGGGTCACTACCGGTTCGAACATCCCCCCTTCCAGAAAACCAGGTGGGTCACTACCGGTTCGAACCCCCCCCACTCACCGCCGGCAAACGACTCCCCGGTCCCCACCACTGGCCGCACCACATCCCCCACTGCTGTCCCCAGCACCAGTGTCCCCACCACCAGGGTCCCCACTGTTGCCACCACCGTCCCCGCTGTCCCCACCAGTGCCCCCACCACTGTCGCACTGTCCCCACTGTCCCCACCACTGTTGTTCCCACCACGGTCCCACTCTCCCCACTTTCCCCACGGTCCCCACCACTGTCTCACTGTCCCCACTGTCCCCTTTGTCCCACTGTCCCACTGACCCCGCCGCTGTCCCACTGAGCTGTCCCACTGAGCTGTCCCACTGTTCCCACCACTGTCCCCACTGTCCCCACCATTGTCCCCACTGTACCTCTGTCCCATTGTCCCACCACCGTCGTCGCCACCGCCCTCACCACTGTCCCCACAACCAGTCCCCACCACTGTCCCCATTGTCCCCGCTGTCCCCACCAGTGCCACCACCAGTGTCTCACTGTCCCCACTGTCCCAACCATTGTCCCACCACGGTCCTACTCTCCCCATTGACCCCACTGTCCCCACCACTGTCCTACTGTCCCCACTGTTCCCACCACTGTCCCACTGTCCCCACTGTCACCGCCGCTGTCACACTGTGCTGTCCAACTGTCCCCACTGTCCCCACCACTATCCCACTGTCCCCACTGTCCCCATCACTCTCCCCACTGTACTACTGTCCCACCACCGTCCTAACCACCGCCTCCACCACTGTCCCCACCACTACCGTCCCCACCACTGTCCCACTGTCCCCACTGTCCCCACCACTGTCCCGCTGTCCCCTCACCACTGTCCCCACCACCACCGTCCCCACCACTGACCCACTGTCCGCACCACTGTCCCACTGTCCCCACACCACTGTCCCCACCACCACCGTCCCCACCACTGTCCCAGTATCCCCACCACTGTCCAACTGTCCCGAGGAGCGGGAGTCGTTTGCCGGCGGCGAGGGGGGGAGGTTCGAACCAGGTGGTGACCCCCCCCCTTTTCATTGTGAACTGGAGGGGGGGGGCGTTCGAACCGGTAGTGACCCCCCCTGGTTTTCAGGGGGGGGGAAGGGGACGGGTTGGAACCCCCAGGGACCCCACCCGGTTTTCCACCAGCAGTGGATAAAGCGGCCCTCGCTTGCAGTTCCACGCACGCAGGGACCGAGGTTCTCGGGCGCTGGAGCATCTTGGCGGCAAGCTCGGCTCCTCTGCGGTCAACTTGGGTGTTGATTATACTGGTGGACGTTCAGTCCGTGCTGGCCGTTCGGCCAAGACGAAGAGCCGCTTGGCGAAGTCGGCTCGCGCTGCTCGCAGACTGGCCAGACAGTCCAAGGTCGCCAAGAGGGCCGCCAGCTTGAAGGTCTATTCTGCGGGCCCCCTGGCGGGGGCCTCATACGGATCGGAGATAGCGAGGATCAGCGACTACGACCTTGGACTTCTGCGTCGGCGTGCTTTCTCGGTCGTGCGACCGTTCACTCAACTGAGGTCTCTCACTACTGCCGCCATCCTGGACGGCGACCCCACCTGGAGGACGACCACGGCGCCCATCACCAGGTGGAGCAAGGAGGCTCGGATTTGCCAGACCAGTGCCTATAGGTGGGCTCTCGATCTGCTTACGTTGCGCAGAACTTGGCAAATTGTTTTCTCGGACTCCAGCTGCTCGTGGCGACGTGTAGCTGGGCCCATCTCGGCTTTGCTCATGTCGTTGGTGAGGAGTGGTTGGCAGATGGTTGATTTCATGACCAGATAAAAAGATGTTGGGCAGATGATCACCTTGGGTGTCTTTTCTCCCTCGCTTGTGAAGGTTCTCGTTCGGAAAGGGTACATGAGGATGCTCGAAAGGGAGTCTGGGAAAAAGCGCGGGATCCTCCCAAGGATTTGCTATGGCATAGTCAAAGAGAGCATTTCTACTCGGTCCAAGCGATACACCCCCCTTCAAGAAGCCAGGATTCGGGCTTTCGCCACGGAAGCTTTGTTCTCGGGGGATCGTGCTGCTAGTTATAGCTACTGCGCGTCCCCTGACTGCCCATTCTGTGGGCAACGCGACACGATCTTTCACCGGCTGTGGGAATGTCCTCACCCACCTGTCGTGGCCGATCGCCTAGAGGCGGCCTAAGGAGCCGAACTCTATACACCGGCGCGTTTTCCTGCCCCGCACTGGAATTCGCACAGGAAAGCGGACCCTGGTGTATACGGGGTCCTGGTGTATACATTTTTCGCTGTTTCCCGGGAAACGGGAAAAACATATACACCACGCCACCACGACGTCGTCTCCAGCCCTCAAAAAAGCCCCGGGAATGAAAAACAGCCCGCCACCGGTCACGTATACATGTGCCAGTTTCCAATCACGGTCCCCGCATTCCTTCCCTCGATCCCACGGCACCCACCAGTCCTTGGCCGCAGCGAGGGCGCTGCCGCCCGCGCTCGCAACATCCGCCCCACGCGGTGGCGGCGCGCGGAGCGCGGCCCCCGGGGGGGCGCGGCGCCTTGCGCCAGCCCCGGGGAGGCACCGAACGACGTCTCGACCCAGGTGGTCGGAGCTGTTTGGAGGCAGGAGACCCCCACACCGCGTGAGGAGCCCCTGGTGTGCGCTACAGCAGGAGCTCGACCACAGGGCACCTGCCACAAGAAACCCAACCCCGCGACCCCAGGACGTGCACTGATCGTTGGTGTGGGACCGTCACGCGTTCCATCGCAAAAACCATCGACACCCAAGAGCCCCAAGGCACTCTGGAGGCAAGCCGGGTGTTTCTTGGCATGGGTTTCCACTGTGTTTGAGGGCGTGACCAGGGGCTCCATGCCACGTGAGAGGACCCCCTCGTGCACGCTGCCGTCCGAAGACGTGCCTTCGCACTGCGCAGTGCTGCTGTTATGGGGCCACGGACGGCGGCGCGCGGGCGGCAGCTCTTAGCCACGGTTCCCTGGCCTTCTCCTGCGCCCCCCTCTTCGCAGCGCATACTCTGGAAACCCATGCCAAGAAGCACCCAGCTCGCCTCCAGGGTGCCCTAGGTTTCTTGGGTCTTGATGGCTTTACTATGGAAAGCGTGACGTTCCCACACCAAGCATCAATGGACGTCCTGGGGTCGCAGGGTTGGGTGTCTTGTGGAAGGTGCCTCGCGGTCGAGCTCTTACTCTAACCGCACGAATCGTTGCCTACAGGCTGGCGCGTGCCTCGCATCACCAGGCATCCTGTCAAGTCACCCTATGGTTTTGCCAACAAATTAAGCGGCAAAAGGTGATGCACACGTCCACGATGCCTCGATGGCTCTTCTGGCAACTCCCGGGTTGCCGCCAGAGCCGGCTCCCAGAGGGATCAAACCAAGGCGTCGAGCAGCCGCATGTCCCAACGCTGCTGCTCACCTCGGGGGCCCTCCACGGGCCCTGCGACAGTCCAAGACGACTCCAGATGAAGAATTGGTCCTGGGCAAAATCCTGGGTCGAGGACTTGTCTCCCTCAAGACCCCACCCTAGTCTCGCGGAAACTCCCAGGCACGCGCGACAGAGAACGGGGAGGGGGCTGGGGCACACGCGTGCAGGGCACGGGGGCGGGCGCGCAGGGATGGGTCGGGCGAAGGGGCTCGCGAGCGCGGATGGGGACTGGAGCGCGGGCCCAGGGTGCGATTCGCTCGGCCGCGAGTCCGCAGAGCTCCTGCTCATTGCGGATGTCCCAGTCGAACACACTGTCGTGTGTGAGCTTCTCGCGGTCGAAGAGGTCCCTGGCGAGCGCGAACTCCGCTCCCCATCGAATGCCCCCGCCGCTGCCGCGCAGGAGAGCGTCAGAATCTGAAGACAACCGAAAACCAGACAACTGCGGACATCCCCGTGGAATGTACAATGTATGCGGCCTGCTCCTGCTTCTGCTCCCACTGGCCCCAATCCTCCGCCACCTGTTACGGATACGAGCAAGAATGCAGAACATGTTACTACTTATGATGTTTGCTGCTAATACGCTCAGCACTCCTCTACTGATCAGGTGCCGATCAAGCGCTTTCTCAAAATGGTGCTCGGGGACTTGGGCGGCGTTGGTAGCCTGTCGATGGCCACCGAGCGGTTAGAGGATAAGTCCCACAGAGTCTTTAGGGCGGAGGCGGTGTAGGTTCTTGCTCTTTCAACCCCATTTTCTGCCCCTACGGCTATCCCCTCCCTATGATCTGGCGGGGGGAGCGAGGTCTCAGAGGGTCATGTGTGTGATCCACGACGGCTCGGGGCCACGAAGGGCAGCGAGCGAAGGCGACCGCGGAACAAGTACGGGCAGCGAGGGGCATCAAGGGCAGGCGAAGGGCAGCGAGCGGCGACTGCAGTCCCTAACGGGCTGGTCGGGCGGGCAAGCCCAGACGGGCGTGTCGAGCGGGCGGGTCGTTGAAGCGTAAATTCTGCTTGACCGCCAGGCAATATGTAGCGGGAGCGCGATTCCTGAGCATCGAAGAGCAGCATCTGAATAAATCCTGAGGAAGTATCAGGCGGGACCCGCGATTCGGTTGTAACTTGCGAGGAAGTCCCAAGCGAGAGCGCGATTCTGCAATACACGATGGGAAAGTATGAAGCGGGAGCCGCGATCCGATGGTAAATTGCCAGGAAGTCCCAAGCGAGAGCGCGATTCTCCAATAAATTGTGAGGAAATATCAGGCGGGAGCCGCTGTTGTTGTAAACCGGGGACCAACAAGATAAAACAGGGTGCGAGCCCCGGGAAGGGCACTTCAATCGAAAAAACAATGTGCACCGGACGGGGAGGGTCAACAATAATTTCTCTTCAGAAATGAATAAGTCAACCACAACAACACCGACAACACCAACAACAACAACAACAACAACAACAATAATAATCTAATACTGTTCGCCCATATATGCTCCAGTGTCCAATAACGCGTATTTCCCAAACCCTCGATACCCACCCTCTTCGTCTTCGATCGAACCCCTTTTGGGGGGTAGACCTTTCTTCCCTGCAGGCCGGGCCCCGGCAAGCGGCGGGGCGGCCGCGGACCGTCGGCCTGGCCAGCCGCAGCGCTGATCGGCGGGGCGGCCGCGGACCGTCGACCCGACCCCAACGACGACGACGACGACGACGACGACGACGACGACGACGACGACGACGACGACGACGACGACGACGGCGACGACGAGCGAAAGCGAGAGCGAGAGATAACGACAGCAGGGCCACGAAGGGCACGAAGTAGGCCACGAAGGGCGACAGCGGGGACACGAAGGGAATGCGTATGGGGCCACGAAGAGCGCGAACGAGCGGGAGCCACACGAAGTGCAGATAATGCGGGGTCACAGAAGGCAACTATTGGGCCACTGAGGGTAGCAACTGTGCCACGTCGGACAATGAGGGGGACACAAATGGCGACAGCGGGGCCACGAAGGGCATGCACATGGGGCCACAACGGGCGCGACTCCTAGGTGCCTGGGTGTCGGGAGCGCGCCGCTTGGGCAAATTGCAAGAAATTCCAACGCAAGGCCATTCTTCAGTAAGTTGCAAGCAAGTCTCCAGCGAGAGCGCGACTCCAGAGCGCCGGGAGGGCGATTCCTGAATAAACTGTAGGGAAGTCCCAAGCGAGAGCGCGATTCCTGAATAAAATGCGAGGAAGTCTCGGGCGGGAGCGGGGGTCCTGGCTAAATTGTAAGGAAGTCTCAGGCGGGAGCCGTTGTTGTTGTAACCTGGGGGCCAGGGGCCCAGTTTGAGCAGGAAGACTTTCCCTGACAAAAAACAGGGCGCGAGCGTCGAGGGGCACACTTTGATTGAGGAAAAACAACATGCACCGATGGGGGGAACAACCATAATTATTCTTCAAACATGAGAATTCAACAACAACAACAACAACAACAACAACAACAACAACAACAACAACAACAACAACAACAACAACAACAACAACAACAATCCTTACGAGAAGGAAGGAATGACAGGCCGAAGGAGTGACGGACCGAGGGCGGAAGCACAGGACCGCGTGCTGCCAGAAGTGCCCCCCAGCACAAGGTGCCCCCGGCAGCTCGCTGACAACCTACCTGACCACCCCAACCCAACCCGAAGACCCGATTTCGGGTTGGGGGGGTGCGGGTTCCACATGTGTTTTTTCAATGTTCCCCGACGCCCCCCCACTGGAAATGTAGGGCAAAAATTGGGGCCTGTGGGTTGGGTTTGGGGTGGCTTGGTGGGTGGTGACTCGCCCCTCTTGGAGGCCACCGGAGCCTCTTTGGAGATCACACCCTGGGCCAGGGACCCCTCTGGATGCCTGCCAAATGGGGTCCGAGTAGTACGGGGTCGGAGGGTCGCAGCCCATCGACGATGGATCGCCGATGCATCGGCGATGCGTCGGCGGCGTGACCGATGCATCGGCGACGTCGGCGTGAAGAAGATCGGGTTCCACAACGAGCCGCATCGCCGATGCATCGGCGATGCAGTGAGATGCGGAGGCCTGGACTATGTCAAGACTTTTTTAGTCGCAGCGGCGCGTGTCCACGCCGCGGTCGGAGACAGCTGAGGGGGGGGAGGAGGAGGCGGAGACGCTCAGAACATGAAGTCCTTGAACGTGTGTACTGGAGCATGGCATGCACAGCGGTAAGAAACTCAGATATCACTTAACAAGGAGCAAGGCGACCCTAATCTCCGACTTTTTTGGGGGTCGACTAGACCCCCCAAAAATGGGTCCAACTCTGAGATATATGAGGGGGGGCGTCCATCCTCGATAGTGGTGCTTCCGAACGGCCCCTGAAGGAGTATCCCTGGCTTCCCGCTCTCTTCTGAGCGACCTGACTTTTCGGGGGCAACTCGGGGATTCGGGGCGAAACATCGCCTGTGACACTCTCGACCGCACGCAAGAGTGACCCCTGGGCAAGAGTGACCTTTGGTGCGCGGCCCAAATGGGGGCCTCTGAGGACACCACCAGGCGCGCAAGCCACTGTTATCGCACCGCGTTCACAGATCGGGCAGGAGAGCCCAGAATCGAATCGATAAGTCGGATCGGCGATCGGAATGAATCGGATGGGCGGAAGTCGGCAGCCGAGTCGGGAGAAGTCGTGTCGGCGGAAATCGGCAGGCCGCCATGCCTCCATTAAGGAATCGCAGTCCACATCGGAATCCGAAGTCGAATCGACTCGGAATCGGGTGCCCTCGGAATCCTCCTCCTCCTCCTCCTCCTCCTCCTCCTCCTCCTCCTCCTCCTCCTCCTCCTCCTCCTCCTCAGGGGTCCCTCCGGCGATAGGTCACTCCTACGCACGTGCAGCCCACACTCGCAGAGCGCAGGACCGCCGCCGGGGCGGCCTCAGCAGCATCCGGGGGAAGGCGTAGTTCGGCCGGTCCTCGCGCGCTCGCGCTGGCGGGGGCCCGCGCCGGCGAGGCCACCCCCCTGCCGCCCCGGGCGCCGCTATCGCTCGGCTGCGTCCCCACTGGGCTGCAACAAGCAAGAGCATCGATGTCCTCGGTGTCCTCGATGTCCTCGCTCTTCGATCGAATCTCGAAGGGCCGCCCCCCTCAACGAACCTCGCTCCTCGATGGACATTCGATCGATCCTCGATCTTCGATCGACTCCCCCCCCTTCGGGGGAAGGGGGGTGCCCTGGATGCTCTCGGGTGGCTCCTGGAGTTGCTGGCGCTTCCTGGAGGTCTGGGGACACCCTCGCTCCTAACTAACTCCCCAGCCTGCGCACACCATGTCCGACTTCATCTTCCGTCCTCTGCCTCCCTTCTTCCTCCTCCGCCTCTTTTTCTTCATCCTCCTCATACTCCCTCCCTCTTTACCAATTGTGAATACCGCCTGGAGTGCACGCGGGAAATTCTCCCGAAGTGCTCGCACTTAGGGGTTCTTGCCCATCTTCTGAGGAGCTGGCTCGTTTGTCGGGTTCCGCCGCCTTATTGCCGCCGTCGCCGCCCCGTCGCCGCCTCGCCGCCGCCCGTCATCTGGGCTCGTTTGTCGGATCCGCCGCCTTGTTGCCGCCATCGCTGCCCCGTCGCCGCCTCGTCACCGCCCGATGTCTGGGCTCGGTTGTAGGGTGCGCCGCCTTGATGCCGCCGGCGCCGCCCAGTCGCCGCCTGGACGACGCCTGTAGACGCCGCCCCGTTGCACCCCGCCACCACCGTTGCAATCCAATTGATTGCAATCCAGAAGATTGCACCACAAAGATTGCACCACATATGTTGCACCACATAGATTGCAGATTGCACAACATAGATTGCATCGAATAGATTGCACCCCCTATGTTGCACTACATAAGTTGCACAGCATGTACTGCACTACATGCACCACGCCAATTGCACAACCTAGATTGCGCAACAAAGATTGCACAACCGGTACGGGCGTGTATTGCACCGCAAGGATTGCACCCACATATATTGCACAACCTAGATCGCATAACATATATGGAACCACATATATTGCAGAACAGAGATTGCACCACACTGTGTAAAGCTAGCAGCAAGCTAATAATTACATGCACACGTATCTTCTCCCCTGGGTATTCTCTTGTGGTCCGGGGTCCGATCCTGGGCGCCGTTGCGCCCCCCTCGGGATCCGGAGCCCTTGAGGGCCCCCCGATCTGTGCCAAGCCTTCCCCCTGTCCTCGCCTGTCCCTCCTCGCACGGTGGCCTGACCGCTCCTGCGCTGGCTCGACGCAGGCCTTGAGTCGCATCGGCTTGGATCGAAAGGTGGCCGCGCCCCTCTTTCCCCTCTGGCGGCCGCAGCCGCCACGCGATCGGTCCCTGCGGGACCACAGGCCTCCCGGAGGCCGACCGCAGCAAGCAGGAGGGCCCCCAGGAGCCCAAGCCCGAGCAGATCGATCAGAGAGCCCCACGTTGCGAGTGCGTTCTTCGCGCTCGTAGCGGAGCTGTAAGCCATCACGGCCGCGAGCGTGAGCGAGCTGAGCAGCCTCGGCAGCGACGAGTTACTCGACGCGGAGATGCCTGGGGCTACGACGGACGGATCCCAGGGACACGGACGGCTCGAGAACGCCGGCACCGCGTGCCGACACTACCGAGGGCGGACGCATCAGTGGCCTCAAGATAGACGTGGTCAGCGGCAGCAGAAAACCTATCGTCTACGAGGACTGGAAGCGCTCGGTGGAGGGCGTACGCTACACATCAGACCTGAGCAGCGGGAGAACTCGCAGTGGTGGCCTTCTTGTCACTGCAGGGCGAGGCCCGCGGCTTGCGCAGGCACATTCTGTTCGACGAGCTGGCGGACTCAAGAAGCTGTTCGCAGTGCTGGACAAGCGTTACAAAAAGCAAGAGCATGAGAACTTCGACTACGCGCTAGCTCGTTACGACAGGTGCCGATGGCTGGCTAAGCAGTGCATGGCAGAGTTCTTGACGGAGCTACTGAAGTGCAGAATCGAGTACGAGCTCACCGATAAGGAGGCATCGCAAAAGGCCTACGCGAGGAATATACTGAAGAGCTGCGGCCTCAGTCGGGACGAGTAGAGAAACGTGCTGGCGACAGCTGGCAAGATCTGAAACCCCAGCAAGATCGAGGAGGCGCTGGTCATGTCGTACAGAGATGCCCACATCGACGATTTCCTCAACAAGGATCGACATCTCGCGGCACCCGCTGCACGGTTGGAAGGCTATCGAGGATGTAAGCCAAGCTATGGACCCTCAATGTCAAATGGCGGAGGCGGAAAGGGACCCAAAGGCAAGTACGGCGGTGGCAAGGGACGGCAAGGCAGCGGAAAAGGCAAGTACGGTGCCTACCACAACGAGAACGGAGACGACAATGATCAGCCAGAGTCGGCCATCGGAGATGACTACGACGACTGGGACGACCAGAAAGAGCGTACTTCCAGGGCTGCGATGAGGACGAGCAGTCCGACAAGGAGGCGTCGGACCCCGAGAAAGCTCAGGAGGAGTTCGAGGCGTTCGAGGGAAGAACGCCACCCCCGGGGAGCAAGTCTTCAGGTAAGAGCACGCAAAAGAAAAAGACAAGCAAATGCAAGGACTGCGATGAGTACGGCCACTGGAGTTGCGACCCTGAGTGCACAAAACTCAAACCTGGAGAGGTGGCCCCCTATGTGAAACGAGAAGACGGAGCACAGAGCAGAGCATCGGGCAACTACCACGCGGACGTGAGGATGGGAGACCACCCGCCCACGATCACGAAGGAGTTCGAAAGTTTCGCCGAGGACGTGACTAGCGATATCGAGATGATGGATGCGACGATGCCGGAGACCAAGACCCCTTTGGTGGCTGTGCGGTTCGGCTGGTCAGCGACCAGGTTCCAGCATTCTCTGGCCCCTTGGCAAGGGAAAGAGCCACCAGTACCTGCTGACCCATCCGTCCCCGCCAGTGCCGCCGGGACAGCCGCCGCCTCTTCAACGCGATGCGAGTTACGCCCACCGAAGACGGCGGCCTATGACAACCTCTACGGTGACTGGCAGAAGTGTGCATTCTGTGCGAGGAGGCTCTGGTACCACGACAAGAAGACGAACACGATCGAGTACTTCACTGGAGAGACGGCTAGCCAAGTCATCGGGACGGTGAACTAGGCAATCAACAACTCCAGCAATGACATCGACGCGAAGTACCTGAACATACACTACAATGTCAACCACCAACGGAGAATGTTATATGATCGCGGATACTGGATGCCTCAAGAGTGTGGCTGGACCGGCGTGGCATGCCGCAATGACCAAGAGATGTGCGAAACTGGGTCTCAAGCCCGTGGCAAGGGCTGTGGACGAGAGCTTCAGGTTCCGTGACGGCGACGTGATCTACGCTAGGATCGCCTACGTCTACCCGGTCGGAGTCTATGGCAAGATGGGCAAGCTCGACGTGGCCAACATCGAGCGGGATGGCCCTGGGTTCCCCAGCCGATCAGCCCTGAGAGACCTGGGAGCGGAACTCCTGACGTCGACAAACGAGATCCGCGTGAGCTCCGAGACGCGACCTATGCAGGATAGCCCCTCGGGGCCCCATGCTGAAGGTTGACGAAGACGGCGACTTGGACCACGTGCAGGACGAGTTCAAGGTCGAGCTTCTACATCGGCGACGACGACAAGGCGGAAATCGAGGAGGAGCAGACCCTGTACGACCAGGAGGACAACGGCACCTACGATGTGATGAAGCACGAGCTGCGCCAGATCAGCCATGGCATGAGGAAGAAGCTGGCCAAATGCACGAAGGTGCTCTACGCGCCTACGACCACGAGGCTGAGGAGAAGAGGGTCCGACGCGTGAGGGCGCCGAGGCGTCCCAGGCTTGTGGATGTATGTACTTGGACGTGTATTGTGACGCAAGTGGCCTGTGACAGAGGCTGGCGTGGATTGGATCCTGTGAGCTCGAAAACGGGCTACGACCTCAGAACGAACGCGGGCAGAACCAAGGCATGGACATGTATCGAGAAAGTGGCCCGCGACGTCGTCGTGTTCGCGGTCCCCTGCAAACCTTGGCCCCGCGTGCAGCACATGAACCGCAAGACGGAGCCGCAACGCACACGTCTGCAGGAGATGCAGATCGCCGATCGAGGTATCACCCAATTCGTGGCTGAAGTTCGAGACTGCCAACTGCGAACTGGACAGCATTTCTTAACCGAGCAGCCGTGGTCAGCATCAAGCACGAAGCTGGAGGAGGTTCAAGACGCAGTTCGAGACTGCAACGAGGGTTTCGTGGAAATGTGCATGCTTAACGCTTAACCTACTTGCCTTGAGACGGGCTACTACATCAAGAAGGAGACGTGGGTGGCTTCAACTTCGAGGTCTGCCCTCGAGCAGATCTGCATTGAGTGCGACGGGAACCACCACCACAAACTCATCAACGGAAGCATCAGGGTACCAGGGCACCCGAAACGTATGCAGCTCAGCGAGTGCTGCGGAGGCTACACCAAAGAATTCGCCACGAACTAGGTCGTAAGCTTCGAGATGGACCTGCCAGACTACTGCTACTTACCCAATCGGACGGATCCGAGACCCGTGCGGGAGCACGGCATCCATACGACAGCGCACAACACCAAAAAGACGCTCATGGACAGACATGACTACGCTCTGATACGGACGATGCTCGACGTCGCCAAGCGCCAAAGACTTAACGAGAAGGAGGTAAAGAACGGCAGACGAACCAGACGACCGACGCCGAGCAATACGCAAAATCAAGAAAAATGAGGACGAACCACATTACCAGCTCAAAGCTCAGCGATCTCAGGCAGCTTTCAAAATAAAAAGGTGAGTATTCGCGACGAGGTCGAGGAACCTTCACTACCTGTACCTGTACCACCTGTACGCTGTCCACCACCACCTCGACAGGTACCCGACGAGGATGAGACGCCTCAACCTCCCACACGGTCCGTACCGCGACGACCTCGACTACCACCAGAGGAGG